AGCTCTTTCCTATACACATATGAGTGTCTATGAATTTGTTTCTCTAGTCCACCCAGACTAACACAGGTAGGTGAAAATTGAGACCGGACTGGGAGAGGAAAAGGAAGATCAGTTGGCGAGGACTAACCCAGGTCAGCTCTGCAGGAAAACAGTGCAGAGGAGGCGGGGCAGCACGTGCTCCGGGGGCAGCAAGTGTGGTGCACGAGCACTGGATGAGGAATTCTGGGTGCTCCAGCCCTCATTCTCAGTGTGCTCCTGATCTGTATTCTGTCACAGGTTCCCCAGAGACAGTGAGAAATGGAACATCTGAAGGGGCAAGTGAAACTAAAAGGCCTACTTATTCTGTGCTTCAATTGAGGTGGATCCCCTGGGCGGGCCTGGGCTGTGACCTCTGCCCTGGGCCTGCCATCAGCCAGAACAAGAGCTGCCATGGCCCTGGACTCTGGCCAGGAGTCCTGTGGGTATTGGAAGGAGGGAGGATCCGCTATGATCTTCAGGCCCCACCTCTTGCCTAGTTCCTGTGCCCCGAGGCCAGGGCAGGAGCCAGAACTCTCCTAACCCTCCTCCCTGGTGGGGCTCCAACCTCAGGCCTCAGTGTCTAGGCCAGAGACTTGGGGAGCAGCCAGGCACCACTGCTGCCCCAGGATGGCCTGGGAGGCCTCATCATCCCAGTCAAAGGCCAAGAGGTGCCCCACAGGCACACAGACTCGATTCCATATGTGGCTGAGCCACCCACCAGCTGTGTGACCCAGGGTCAGCCACTTCCCCTGTCTGAGCCTATTTCCTCCTGCGAGAGAGGCTCGAATAATAAGTACCAGCTCGTCTGAGTGGTGTGATGATTCAGAGAGCATCCCTGGGTGTGGGCAGCGCTCCTCTGCCCATCTCTGCGTGGTCAGTGTCCAGCTCAGGCGGGCCTGAGGAGGTGCTGGGCAGTCTGTGGAGTAATGAATTGCGTCACAGTGCCTGTCCCCACATGGAGCCACGCTTCCTAACTGCACACACATCCGCCTGCTAACAACAAGGTCAGTAGTTCGAAGCTACCGGCTTCTCCTCGGGAGAGAGACAGGGCTTTCAACTCCCATAGTTACCCTCTTGGAAACTAACAGGGCCAGTTTTGCCCTGTCCTGTGGGGGTCATGTGAGTTGGCATTAAGTCAAAGGCAGTGATTTTAGGGTCTTTTTTTTGGCCTGTCACTGAAAACGCTTGCCCAGTTCGTGTGGACACAGAGACAATGCCCGGGATCTTGTTGAAGGCGCTGGAACTCCAACTTTCCTCAGAAACCTCCAAACACAAACCTACCCTGAGCGAGAGACGGCTCAGCCACATCTCCCAGGGTCCCAGGGGCTGTGGAGTCAGGGCGTCAACACTGCCTCTGTTGTACGGGTGAGGAAACGGAGGCTTGAGGACATCCGCTCGCTTGCTCGAGTCCACCCCACGGTTGAGGGGAGAGCTGGGGTTTGAACTGCCTACAGAAACAGCTCGTTGAGGCCCCTCAGCTGACCAGGATGTCCCTGGCTCTGTAACACACTGCTGGGCCTGGGCGGTGCCTGGGGCAACCATGACCCCGGCCGGGCCTGCTGTGTGCAGAGGACCGTCTAGAGCAAGACCTGCTGCTGACCCTTCAGAGGGTCAGCGCCCGGGGTGAAAGGTCATCGCAGGGGAAATCTGATGACCGAAGCCACGTTCCACGTTCTGTGTGGTTTCTCATGGGAATCCCGGGGCGGTTCTCTGAGAAGTGCGTCCCGCCTCTCCGAGGAAAGGGTCTGGGATGAGGAAGTTTCCCTGAGGAAGGGCATTCAGAGATCACAAGGGAGCAACAAGTCAGGAGAATTGGAGACAGGGATCAAGGTCAGCCCAGCTGGGGCCCCTGCCTGTGAGTGTGGACAACAGTGCTGGCCAGCTCCTAGAGTCCCCTCAGGCCTGTGAGTCAGAAAAATCAGAGACCTTAGATTTCCTGAGCCCAACAGAGGTAAGTGTGGTCGTTAGATTTTATGTCAACTTGCACCTGTGGGAAAGGGTAGGGGTGGAGTCCAACCTACCAATCAGCTCACAGCCTGATGATGCCCCGTTGGGAG